CCCATCCAAGTTGATCCACTGCCATGATCTGAGATTTGTTGAACATCATCATTTAGATATCTTTCACACGTGTTCCACTGATCCCTTTTCACATCAGGTACTTTTCAGCCTGATCTGACAATTATTTATTCGTTCATGTCGGTGTTGAGTCTGCGCGTAACAGTTGATATCTCTGCCATAAACAAAAACTCCTGTTTTTACTCACTTATCAGAGTGTCCTCTTCAAACTTAAACGACTGTGGACTGTTTTCTGTTTCTTTGCTTCTGCTTCTTGTTCATGTAACGCTGGCGTTCTCCTGAGAACTGTGCTGCTGAGGTGCTTACTCCCTGTGCACCCTGCGTGCCGCTGCACTCTTCTGCTTTCTTGCCTAACGGGGTCACACTCCCGCACGCTGAACTATGCTGTCCCCTCCTGCAGGCTTCCAGACCGCTTTCAGTTGACCCCTTTCTTCAACAGTTTGCTCGGTATTCATTGTACTGCTCGCCCTCTCGTGCCCACACCTTTGTCCCTCTGCATACTTCCGCACTGTCCAAGATCTCGTGACATTTTAAAACAATCTTATTGGTGGTTGGAACATACGGTCTCACATAAAACACATGACCTCCAATAAGTATTTTTTCCGAAGGCTTTTTTCATCAAAGGTGGATCAGAACCGAAAGACTATCTTCTTTAACCCCATTGCGGTTTGCTTTCAGACTGTGTTTGAGATCACTCTCATTTTTGCATTTGGTTGAGGTATTCTCTTTCAACATCGATCCGCTGTCAGTTTCTGACGGGGATTCCGGGCGGCGAGCGGCGCGGATAGCTTTTTACCACTAAACAGTGAACACTCCACTTTCTTACCCTCCACGGTACTCATCTTTATTGCCCTCCCCTGTTGCTCTCTATCCCTACATTTGATCAACATTGATCCATTCCTCAACACTTTGGCACTCATTACCTCCCCGATTTCTTTACTGATCGATTTAGTTAACCGTATAGGGTTCCACTCGCCAAACGAAGCTCCCTCTTTCGCAAGTTTCACAACCACCATGAACTCCTGTTGCCTATTTCCGACTACTCTTTCTCTCCTTTCACCCTCACTATTACTCTCATCCGAATGAGTATTTCCTTGCTTTTTACGTTTATTCCTCCTCACTATATCCCATTCTCCATTTCCATAACTCCCGCCTACTCCTTCCATGTCTCCTAACTCGCTTCCTGCCCCGTCACTTCCCTCTGCCATCTCTCATCCAGTCACAGTCCAGTGTTGCCACCTGCCCTGCTCCAAATGTTTGTCCACGGTCAAGCAGGAAAGAGCCTGTCGGCCACACCCAGACTAACAAGAAAACAGAACCTAAATACACACAGGACCAATCAAACCAACTAGACGCAGGTGAGGGGGGAGGAGACAACACAGGGCACCTGAGGCCTGTACTACGAAGCTGGATTTTCGCTTAGCCGGCTAACTTCAGGGAAAGCCCGGGCTTTCCGGTCCTACGAAGCTGGTTCTCTTTTTAGCAGGCTAGATCTCCATGGTAACTTATGCTGTGCGGCTAACCTGCCCCGGAGCAGGTTAGGTTGCAGGCTAAGAGCTCAACTCAGTGAAAGCACTGCCTGCTGACCAATCAGAGCTCAGTGTGCGGAGTTTAAAGCGATGAAGTCATATTACAGGAGAAAGTAAATACAGAAAAGCTGCCGTTGCAGGAAAGACGGCCGGCAAAAATCACAGACTGTGTGAATGTGAACATTAATAGAATATCACCTCCCATCCTCAGAGTAATCTGACTATTATAACATCAGCGTAAAGAAAGCTTACTTAAATATCTGCCACAACATAAGTAACCGGATCAAAATAAGATTAAGTACAGTCCGCGGCATATCACATCATAATGTATCATATATTTCCTTATCTGAGTCAGCT